CACCGTCAGTGGTGGATGAGTTGCGACCTAATTTAGACCATTGGCGTGGACTATTGTACAGGTAGTCAAATACTGCTTGCATTTGTATGTTTCCGTCTCCGAAGTTGCAGAATCAATCGTATTTCTTCAGCTTCCCGTGGGTGATCTTGATATCCACGAGCTCACGAATGGACGCTATCAGCTGCGCAACCTCCCCTGATACGCCCTTCGACGCCTGCTTGTGAGCCTGAGATACCGATCGCAACAGTCACTACACCCGCCGGGGGCCATTGGAGGCGGAAAAAGACGCACCTCCACCGACTCCCATCCCGCGGCGATGATCAGAGTTTCCTCCTTCTCGACCGTCGGCCCCCATGTCGACAGGACGATCCCGGGGGTCGGGAGGCCAGTCAGCTTGTGGAGCAGCGGACCCACTTCCTCCTTGGTCTTCCCCGGCTTGAGGGTGACCAAGGCGACCTCGGTGACGGGTGCTTCGAGGGCAGGGGTGGGGTCCTTGGTGAAGTTGATGTGCAGCATCTCGAAGGGCCCACCGACTGCAGGCTTGAGCGTCTCGACGAGCGCCGGGTAGGTGGGCCCGGACATGAGGGCTTTGTGGTGCTCGAGGGTTTGCCAGACTGGGGTGGCATATGAGGATCGACCATAGAATAGGGATGAAGGGGACGTACGGACAAAGAGGTAGCCTTTGGTCGGGTCCTCTACTTCGGGGCCATGGTAGGTCCTGTGGAATCCACGCAATCAGTGGACTAGAGAGCGCTGTAGAGCAGTAGTAGCCTACGCGATCTTCCCCTCGGTTTTGTTGAGGATGTCGATGAGCCCTCCGAGGACGCCCTGGTCGTTCTGGTACGCCTCGGAAGAGGTGAAGAGCACGAGCTCGGCGACTGGCAGCGACATCGCGATTGAGAAGGTTAAGGGAGGGGGGGCAGTGAGAGGGTGTATTTATAGATAATCATTGATAATGGCGAAGTGAGAATCATGTTTGCTTCACGCCGATCCGGAGTCAACATATGACCATATACTCTTTCGTCAGGCTGCTTCGTCGCAGGCGCCCCCATCGGATCGGTATGTACTTAGTCTGATGCGCTTAGGGCTCATTTTGAGATCTTTAGACTTAGAGTTCCCCGCGGTATATCGCATTCGGCAGCCTACAGGCTCAAGAAGGAGAGCCAACTTGGAAGCTGGCGTCGATTCGCGAGATACATATGAGTCTGACCATGATATGGACTCCGCAGAGATATGTCCGGCGACCGGCTTTCTGGAGGACCGGCTTACCTACGCCACCGCTATGGCCACAAACAAATACAAATGCACCTGTTGCATGACTGAATCCCCAACTTCAAACTACAAGTCCGTGAACTTGGTCCTTTGCTACAAGTTGCTGTCGTCTGCGTAATCGCAAGGTAAAGTAGCGATTGGAATGGGTCGACCATCTCCTTACGCAGAATCTCATGATAAAAAGGACTCTTATACAAAAGAATACAATCCAACTCCGGAACGCCGATCTGATATATGCGTTCAAGCCAGATTGAAAGAAGCCCGCACTTCCAGCTGTGGCAGTCGCCATGAAGATTCCTGTGTTTAACCCTTGCATACTCTCAAGTGAGCTCTGCTGTCCCTGCTATAATCTGCTTACCGGGTGGCCGGGACAATTCAGATAGATAGATCACCGGATACTGATGTTTCAGGCCCGTCAACGCTTATAATTATCTTCAACTAGTGAGGGCAGTAGCACCGTACCTCCGGTCCTCCACATAAGCCGCCCTAGTTTGACACGTCCACCACGACGGATCAGGGCTGCAATTCTCCGTGCCGACCTCCCCGGCGTCTCAATGGACTCATTTTTTCATGCCTATGGTTGCCCATCTACCGCATGCACCGTGCACTGGTCATCCACGATATCCTGAATCAGGTCCTTGGCTACCTTCAAGTCCAAAAGCGGTGGACGGATACAATTGACACTCGGCGCGAACGGCACGACCTAATTTGTATCGCCCTCACCTGCAAGGCCTTCCTCGACCCAGCGCTCGACGAGCTCTGGGCTCGGCTCGACTCACTGAACCCGCTTCTTAGGCTGTTGAGTGGGTTTCAGTGGACTGGAGACGTCTATGTGAGTGCAGCATACATAGTCTAATCTCATTCAGAGGTGCTTCTGTTTCTCATGCTTCCGTGAACGATGATGACATCTGCAGATCCTCGCGGGTGGCGTGTCCCCTGGGGAGCTAGCACGGTTCTCCCGCTACGCAGCGCGCGTGCGCGAGCTCGAATACAGGCGCGATGCGTATATCCACCCATCGGTCGTCCACCGACTCGTCGTAGCGCGATCGGCGCCGCTACTCCCGGGATTGCGTGTCTTACAGTGGGATGAAGCGGATCCGTCTTGCGCGGAAGTGATGTTCTTGATCACCCCTACGCTGATGCGTGTCGAAATACAACTCGCACATAGTAAGCCAGGCTATGAGAGAGATGAACGACCCCTGGAGGCTTTCGTCAATGCGCTCGCGGACACGGTCCCGATGCTCCGGCACTTGGTCTTCACAGGAACGCTCAGGCATAACCATCTCGCACGACTCTCTGACTTGAAGTTCCTGCAATCTGTCACGTTGAAGGGGCGTGCCCCATTCAAAGGGCCGGGAAATGCCTTCAGTCCCGAGGGCCCCGTGGTGCTCACAACGCCGCAGATGTACTATGACTTCTCGCTAATGCAGCACCTGGCGGAGCTAGACATCGATGTCGACGGCCTGCAACCTCTCTACCCACCATCGTATTATCACTTCCTCCAGCTCCGTTCTCTCCGGCTGACGGGTACCCTAGCGTATATCCTCCCCCTCCTCGACACGATCTCAACTGGTCTCTTGACCTCCCTCTCGCTGAGTTTCGCGAGTCCACACAGCAGCACCTGTTGCGACCTACGCGCTCTGTTTTCCAAAGCGCCCCTCTACTCCGCGCGCCTGCGTCACCTCCGAATTCACGCGTCGGCTCCGGCGCGGTGGCAGCCACCGGAAGCCCTTTCCTTCCAGGACGTCTTCGCGCACTTCCTCACGCCTGATTCCACCATGGAGGAGGTAGATATACACCTCGAGAATGCCATGATCGCGATGACGGACGCACACATCGTCCAGCTTGCTGACTCCCTTCCGCTCCTCCGTACCTTCTCGTGCCGGTATGCCATGGCCGACGGTGGCGTATCCCCGACCCTCTGGTGTTTGATTCCATTTGTGTACCGATGCCCGTCCCTCACTTCCCTCGCGCTTCCGGTGCGTATGCTCATCCCGCCCGAGGACACGTGGCAATTTTTGCCCCAGCGGGGGATTCAGATGCGGACGCTTGACCTGCTCGAATGGCCTGAGGGCCATGGGCAGATGGGGTTCGATGTGCGGGAGGTGGCAAGGATGTTGGATGTGTTGTTCCCCAACTTGGACCTCAACACCATTGAACGGGAGTCGTGGAGGAGCACGATGTGGAGAGAGGTGTTCGCAGCTATTGGTGAGCTTAGGAGATCACGAGAAATGTCTACTAAGTATTATGATGGGGATGGTGTTTTGACCTATCTCACATGTACATAGATTCGACATTTAGTCTAACCGGCTCTGGATTTTCAGTGACGGCCGTTGGACGGCGCGCCTGCTGTTAAGTACCGTATGGATGAAAAGTTGAAGGGTAGCTACTTCAGCGTGGGCGGACTGTCCGAATTCAGGCTCACATTGTGAGCTTTCTCTCATCCTGCGTTTCCGAGGTAGCTATGTAGACATCGCGGCAAGGAACTGAGCTATTTGTCGAAGTATTTCCTCTAGCATTTGTGAGACTTATATCTAGCCTGGGATATGTAACTCATAAAGATGCAGCAAAGGGGTTGAACCGTCTCAGATAAACTGGGTACATGAGGTATGTGAAGAGGGGACTCTGATAGAGAATCTGTCACAGGGGTGGCGACCGCTCGAGGAAGTATGCAGGCAATCCCCAACCATGCCCTTCAGACTGTCGAAGACGACATTGCCCACGTTGCCACGTCCGGCCCAGCCAGCGACCTTGTTCGCCAGACCGCCTACTTGGCACAGGAGGGCAGTCTCTAGGAATCTGTGCTATCAGACGACGAAGTAGGTCAGCGCGTTGGCATGAAGCAAAGGTTAGGTGGTTTACCTGGTACGGTTTCCGCTCCTTTTCGTGATACACAACGAAGCGAACTTCGCCTGAGGCAATCTTCAGTGGCGGTATTGGGACGCGTCGATGACTCTGAAATCATACAGGCCTGCGAGAAACGTGGATTCTCAGTCTTAGATAAGCTGCTATTATTGCGAAGTTCCACTTAACTTCCTCGTTCTTCTTGGCAACCTTCTCCAAATGGTCCTTCAAGTTCTTGTACCATTCGGCTACGATACAGAAGAGTGCTTCGGCACCGCCTGATGGAAAGAGTTTCAGCACGTAGCCCAATTTGCAGTCCAATCCCTTGCATTGGGATCTGTCCTTGGCTATCATGGAGCAGTATTCGGCGGAGCGTTCATGGAAGATCTGACTCCATTTCCCCGTTATGCGAGGCTGCTCTGAAGAATTGGGAGCAGGGATCAACAAGATGTCGCCGTTGTTAACAGGCACGTGTGTTTGAGTGTGCAGAGGTGAACTTTGGGGAGTGTTTGAACGCTGGGATGCCTACTCGGAGAGAGGTCGCGACCCTCTTCTACGGTTTTCCCGACCTGTCGCTGCCACTTGGCATGACATTCTGACGGCCAGCTGCCTCAGGGATGACAAGGTTCCTGCACATTTTTCCTAGAATGTGTGTTCAACTAGTTCTGCGGAGAATGGAAGAATATCCCTTGGACCGTTTGCCAATTGGACGTATCAAGGGGTTCAAGACATACTCAGAATGTCGGGTTGATTACGCAATGAACCTGGAACTTGACTATTAGATAACGGACATGCGTGATGTTCTGGGATGAATCACCATTCCGGGATCTCCTCGCCTCTATCCGTATCCCCAATAAAGACCCAGGAGTCGCCTCTCTGCAATAATACGACGCATAAAATATAACGAACACCTTTTTTGGCTTCGTAGTGGGTCTGCACATGCTCCTAAGACGGCGAGATAGTAACCTGGCCGCGAGGGCCTGACAACTGACAAGAGCTTCCCATGTTGTGGCGCAAAGTTAGCGTCTGATTTATGTTTAGCATGCGGTATGGCATCCGCACGTCCCAAATTTCAGGGTAAGGGGTTGTTCACGCCTACTCCAAGGCACTGAGAAAAGCAAGGAGGGGTTCCTAGGTGGGAAAGAATGGATCGTCCAGAGACCGCATCGATTTATTTTGGAGACATGCATATCATCTTGACATAGTCCTCGTCGGTGCTGCACTTTGAACCAGGACAAACAATTGTTTGGAAATGCTCGTACGGTCCGACAGAGGTCCTCATGTAGCTCTGATAAGGGGAAAATCCCTCCCCCAAGTGCTAGGGGGATTAGGTGCGTACTTGTCACCGAATGAAGTATCTACCTTTTAAAAATCAAGCCCTATGGTTACAGGCGGAGATGAGCAAGACCTCACATGCAGCATACCTTATTACCCCAAGGGCTTCCCGTTATGATTTGACTAGCGTATGATGGAGCGGTCACTACCAGTACTAACTTGAAGTACCTCATCAGTATCGGCCCCAAAAGATAAGTCGAGACACAAACGGGCAGACCGGACACTCCAGCTGTGGGTGGAACTGAAGGAATGAAAGCCCGTAGACTTGAATTCGAAGGCGACGCGCTGCGGCCCGCCTTGTCCCGATCACCACCTAACACTTGGACTATGGGGAAGTATATCCCTATCTTTGTAGAGAACAGGTTATAAGACATACTAGTACGGTTGAACATGTTCACTACGCCCCCCGCGCATTTTTGTTGCATCGGCTGCAGATGGGTATGTGGCCGCCAAATCAAACAATTGTAATCGCAGCGTGGCAGTAGAGGTGCTCAAAAATTGATCGTTCGCGGTCGATCGTTGTGCAGCAATCCGAAAGTGGACTTGCCGCCATATCCGTCGCTCGTAGAGGACGAACTCAACGAACTACACCGCCAAAGTCGCAAGAGCCTGACGCGAGAAGCGCACGACTTCTGTGGCCCAGATGAAGCGCCCACATGGGTGCCACTCCACCTGTGGCTGGTGCGCGGCCTCCACACAGGACCAATCTACCAGTACATATAGCTACCCGCCACTAATATACTTTGCCCCAGCTGGTGATTCGACTTACAGTCACACGTTTGATACTCATTGCGAGCAGCTGGTGTAAGTGTGCTGACATACGCCTTCCCTTCGTGGATTCCTGTCGCACTTAAAACTCCGCTGACCGTGCGACTTCGTATCGTATCTCGAGCTAATGGCCTATTTGAACTCCGATCCCATACTTCGCGCGACCGAACGCGAACGATCAGCGTGCATTTGAATAATTCCGGTCGTTCGTTCGTGTTTGGCTAAATGTAAAGTACCGGCCATCCTGGGATTGCTGCACAACGCGAACGATCAATTTTGAGCACCCCTAGTGAGGCCAAGGATGTGATTGGTCGGTAACAGCATCCCGGAATCTCCCGGCGTTCATCCTGATTACCAGGCTGACCTTGTTCGACAGAATCGACACTACTACCTTGAAGCTGCGAGATACTTTCTGAAATGCCTATAAGTATTTTGCGATTACTGGCCAGCCATGTTTCTCAACAGCGGACATGCAGAATATGCGCAGACTATATTCTACAGACGCTGCGCCAGGTACTACTCCAGGGGAGCCCACGTAGGTTGAACGTCGGTCCATGCTCAGTACCGGGACTGCTGGACCTTACCAGGTACTCAAGTAATAATCCTGCTGCTGTTACCAAAAGCTGCGAAAGGCAGATGCTCATCAGAGCTCAGCTTCCCTTTTCGAGGATTGCATCCAGTTGCGGTCAAGTATTACAGCTCTCGATAGTCAAGGCGCGGAGTAAGGTCCGTGATTGTCCCTTTTCCTTTTACGGATTAATCACGCTGTATTCGTGGGTTTAGCACTGGGTGAGTTTAATGATGCACAGGCTTTTTCTCGCGAATTTTCTGCGCTTGGTGACCCTCTCTTTGGATCGTTTCCCGCAGCCGTTCAATTGCTCGCGATGAAGTCCCGTCCAAGGTCACGAGAAACAGCGTCCTTTATGACCGAATAGTGTTGCTTGAATGAACGTTGCTTCCGCACGACGTTTGACGGGATAGATACCCACCGGTATGGTCTCTGCCGAAGCAGTTGAACCGAAACGATGTGGCGCGGGACGGCCCTTGACCAGAGCCTTTTCGACGCGTCTTTTCTGTATCGAACGCACATTGAGGGTTAGACCTTTCTTCTGGTGCTTTCTGGCTGCCCTGTGTGACTATCCTGGCGACTTCATGGAAACGGCTCTTGCGCTCAACTCCATCTCTCTGGATGGACTAGTCCCATCGTCCTATAGCGTTGACTGCCATGACACCCATGCATTCCCAGCTCATCATTCTCTGTTGCTAGACATGACAGTTGGCGGTTCCGGTAGGGTGGGCAGGCACTCAGAAATCTCTCGAATCACCAGCGGCGCTAAGTGATAGCACCCAGACCCCGTTCTTGCGGAGCACAGAAATTTTTGACACCCTCTAACCACCGCAATCACACCATTCAAAATGGTATCCAGGAGGCTCTTTCTTCTCTTACCTCCATACGCTCCTTTTGTCGTGCTAGTTCTCCCATTTTTCCGGTGGTAGCGGGACTTTCCATGCTGTGACGAAATTTCGCCCCTCTTCTTGACTCGCTGCATAATCCTCCGCATAGCGCTGCACAGTATTGCCCTGATGCAAATAGCGTGCAGTAGTAGGTCGAAAGAACCAGCTTGCTAGAGGTCGCTCAGGCTGGTGAGCTCGTACAGCATTTGGCTCTAGATTTTTCTGTCTGCCCTAGGTACTATGCCTCCTGACATGGGTCATTCCAAGTCATACCGCTCACTCGTATCAGTTCGCAGGCCACCGACTGCCTCTCGTTTGCCGACTGCCTCTCGTTTGCCGACTGCCTCTCGTTCGCCGACTGTCCAAGTCACACTAGATACAACCACCTCACCAAGATACCGGCGGGATTGCCTTGCTCAAAAGTTTTGCGTGATTGATTCCCCATCTTGCAGGATTGACTTGAAGGGCTGCTAAGCAATCGTGTCTCTTTGACTGTCAGCCTGCGGCTCTCCTGCCATTTCAATACTAGATGGAACCATTTGCACCAAACTTCGCTCAAGAAAGCAGCATTGTCATGCGATAAATATGGATCATGCCGCCGGGAGGACAGACGTGATGGCCTCTACGCATTCCGGACTCCTACCTTGTCAGCAGGACTCTTCGTTGTTGCATAACTGAGCTCGCGGGGCCAAGGTATGTACCATTTTTCCCGCGGAGTCCACTATGAATAGAAACCACAGTGCTCATTATAGAAGCTTTAAAATTTGCTGGAGGATCTTCTTTAACGGTAATAAAGACTCTCCAAACGGCATTCCGAGGACCTCTTATAACAAACATAACCATCCTATCGTCATCAGAAACGCCTATGAATAGTTGAGATGTGGCATCAATATTGTATCACCGTAGTTTCTCTGGTACTGAGGGCCGTTTCCAGTCTCGTCCCAGAGCGATATGCTTGAATACCTATGGATACGACTCGTATCCATAGGTATTCAAGCATATCGCTGTGCAAACCGCCCTTCACATCTCAGACATTCTTTGGGATATTGTCAATCATATAGCCGGGGAATACGCATCCACCAACCATGCGGATGTACGACGCCAAAGGCAGCACCTTCTCTGGTTTGCCCTGTCGTGCAAGATCTTGCTCGGTCCTGCATTGGCCATGCTGTGGAAGAAGCTCGATTCTATATACAGCTGTTGAGTCTATTTCGAAAGTTCGAAAAGCGGGGGAATATATTCGTACGTCTGTTTATGCTGTAACTATTACATCAATTTCACTATTGTCACCCAGTCACTTGCAGGAGAGATGATTGAAGTAGAGCTCGGGCACTACCAACGATACGCTGAGCATGTCCGAGAGAACAAAGTTGCATCCGGCCATCGTATCCATCCCACTGTTTTCCACCAGTTATCGCGGCACCGCGGGTCAGCTCCCCTCCTCCCAAACTTGCGCATATTGGCTTGTGAATGTGGGGACGATCCAGCACTGCAACCCGTCCTCTTTATCACTCCGACACTACTTCGTGTTACTATCAAAGGTTTGTCCACTGCGCACGCCGCACAGGACGACCGTTTGGCGACATTCGTGGATGCTCTTGCCATTCACGCACTCTCCCTCGAGTATTGCGCGATCGGGGGTGGGCCTATGCATCCCAAACTGCTTACTCCCATGAGAAGGATGCAACGTCTGCGATCACTAAAACTAACTCAATGCACTTTTCTTCCACCGCCGCGCCTCATGGCTGCGAACGAGCCAGTGGCTCTGAGGATCTGGCAATTACTCGCGGACATTGAATCACTCTCGAGCCTCGACATTGACGTGGACAACTTTCGCTCGATCCCAGCGGCAGCCTTGAATTGCCCAAAGGCCTGTGCCAAGCTGAAGAGTTTTCGCCTAGTCGGCAATCTAGAGACAAGTATGAACATCATCATGATGTATGCGCTTCCAGCATCTGAACTCTCGTCCCTGGCACTCTACTTCCAAGTCTCCCAAGTTGAGAAACACCGACAACTCTTCAGTGTGATACCTTCGCGATTCCCACACCTCCGCAAGCTCGAACTCGCTGCATACCCTGCCCATTCCTGGAGCACCGGGGAGTGCTCCGGATTCTCAGACACCCGGGGCCTCGAAGAGGTCGATTTCACATTGGCGGATATAATAACGGGACTGGATGATCAGGAGTTGGACGAGCTGACTCACCACTGGCGGAAGCTCACTTCGTTTTCGCTATATTACAGGACCTCTTCCCAGCATAAGAGGGTTCCGACATTGCGATGGCTTGCAGCGTTCGTGCGGAACTGCCCGAACTTGATCCACCTCCAGCTTCCGATTTGTACTCGGATAGTCCCTTGGGATCTGCTAGAAGCATCGAAGCACAGACTGAAAACCATAAAGCTTCTGGAGTGTCCAGCAGAGGTCATCAATACTTCTCAGGTGGCACGAGCTCTCGAGAGCTTATTCCCTGAGCTAGATGTGCATAGAAGAGGAGAGAGCTGGACGCCGAAGCAATGGAGAGAGGTCTTTCAAACTATGCAAAAATTGCGAGCTGCGCAAATTGCGATACGGAAGCTATAGTACACACACACAGTAACGATACAGTACATCATTGACCCGACACGCGGATGCACTATCAACCCATACAGACAACCTACACCCCCATCCCCACCCATCTTCCATCTTTATCTTCACCCCTACTTCAACTGTGCCCACCAGTCGATCCTCAGTCGATGTACCACTTATACGCCTCCCTCCACGCTTTATTCCCGTTTTCCTCAATGACGTCCTACACCCCGCCCATCCCAGTCCAGCATTAACATTCCACCCCTCCAAGCACGTGAACTACAAGCAACGAAGCAGACTCACCCCATGGCACGGAATGATCCTCTCAAAATCCCAGCCCGCGACGGTCTTCACGTCTCGCTTCATCGCCCTGGGAGTCACGTTAGTTGCGAAGGAATGAACGCATGTGGAAGGCGGGCAGCACCCACTCCTTGTCCGCGCCCATCATCCATGCAAAGCGTTTGTGCATGTACATGTACGGGTTCAGCGTGCCGAAGAAGGGCACCTTGCCCGAGGAGCTCGTCTTAGAGTACTGCAAGGAAGGTATGGTCAGTGATACACAGCTAGAGGCGAAGGGAAGAAGCACCTGCTCGTTACACGGCAGGTTGAATAGGAGGTCGGCTTCGATGAGGGTCTTAGATGCAGGGTGGAAGAATGCTACGTCTTTGTTCTTGAACCCCGAGAAGTAGCTGGGATATCCCAGCGTTCAGTTGTACTGAGGGCCGTTGTCCGTCAGAATCTCGCTCACCAGTGTTGGATCTGTGTTTGGTTGATAGGTGCCGGGTAGGCAGGAAAGGAAAGTGGTAAGAGGGCTTACGTCGCTTTCGAAGCCGTACTCGGTTCCAGCCGGGTCGGCGCCCCATGCTAGAAAAGGGGGGGGGGGGTTGAGCGAACAGAAGGAGCTAGCGGATCGGAGGCCACTGTACCGCCGTCGAACATTAGCCCTTCGTTCTGCTTCTTCTTGATAGCTTCTTGCACAGCAACAAGCTTGGCGTTGGGATATGCTCTCTTGAACTCGCCTACCCCGTGGGCCTCAGTCAGCAGTGCACATCCGCACTATAATCCGTACCCACCGAGGTAGAGCGTATGCACCGCATCCGCGCCGACGATATACCTGACATTCCATCTCGACTAAGCAATAGTTTGCTATATGCAGGAGAGATCCATGGACGCGCACTTGACCGGCCCCAGCTCCTGGAGCTTGCTCTTCGTCGCGTCGTTCAGCGGCGTCGATGCGAGGACCCAGACGTCGCCGCTCGCGAGCTTGATAGCTGTCGAGCGCCCGCCGAATGGGACGAGGTTGAATCGAGAGAATGGGCTAGGTGGCACAGATAACTGTGTAGTCTATGTTACTCTTATTCCTGCGTTCGACTTACCATGAGAACGTCCACACGTTCTTCGCTACCTACAGACGAGGAGATTGAACGGAATGATATGCGGTTAACGTATTGTTCTGTGTGTCTCACCTCTCGAATTACGGTGTTCTCTGAAGTCATGGTCGCAGGTTCCAACGTGCAATTATTGGGAGTCGGCAACGCCTGCCAAATTCGAACTCCGCCGCGCGCGTCACGCTTCAGCCACATGAGCGAAATGCTGGTTACAGCTTGTGGTGCACTTTTCGGGACGAGGAGACATTCTAAAATAGCGAAAAAATCTTTGGATATTCTTCGATGTTATATAGAATCCATCCTTCCAGTTCGATTTTTGATACACTGCCTTGTAAGTGCTATAAGACCAAGTTCGGAGGGCTGAGGTGATAGGTTAACCAGGAGAGGGACACAAATCGAGAATTTTAACTGGAAGGATGGAATCATACACACCTAAAAGAATATATTCCGATTTTTACTCTAATTAAAGTGTGATACTGAGCGAGAAAAGTGCACCACACGCAACACACACCAGATAGCCATAGTCGGCATTTGCCGAGACGTGTCCATTGACGCGTTTTCGACGCGTTTTGATAGAACACGTCCCTTCTGGAAGCACCGGCAAATGGAGATCAAGGCAGGGATAGCTAAGGACGAGGCTGGTGCCCATCAAGTCAAAAGTAACCAAGAAGGCGAACAAGATTAATGCTCTAATCAAAACAGTCAAGAGGTATTCTGAAGGCTATCCTTTTTCAATTTTATGGCAGCTTCTACAGATAATACAGACCCAGGGTATGAGGACTCAGGGGAAGAAGAATACTAATTCATGATTACCATATTGCGCTTTTTAGCGGTATAATAATTCTCTTTATTGCATATATGACATCAATACTACTGTAGATATTATACCAGCTGTATTAAGTATCAAAGTTTCTCTTTATCGTGCAGGAATAGATCATTCAGTCCGAGGTTGGCAGAGGAGAACGGCCTATGGCGCGAAATGATGCGCGTGTGACAATCACGGTCACACGGACATTTGGCTGGCCGACTCTCATTCAATTATGGTCACTGACAGGACGCGCAGTGACGTCACATCTACTGTCGGGGCTGCCTAAAGTTCCCACGCTCGCGAAGCTCGCGTGCACGACCGCGCCCCATTTCTGCATCGGGCGATCCGATACGGACACCCAGTCTGGAGACTGTCCGTAAGGTGGCATGGGTGTCCTTCATATTGTGTTGACATTGTCTCTATAGTGTTTCTCCGTAGTGTAGTGGTTTGTAGCTTGAGGTTGAAGTTGGTGGGCAGGCAAAAATTATGGACGTACCACATTGTAGTTCTTAGTGTATTCTGCACAGGTGCCCGTTTACCTCGGCTGTATGAGAATAACAAGCGGTTGTGGAGACTTCAATGCGTCAAGTCAATTGCCGAAGACGAAATCATGGCAATGGGCACTATGAGGAGTGATGCGCCTTACTGTAAGCCTCGTGGATGCTGCATGGCACTCGCGTTGGATGGACATGATTTCTCTGATGCTGAACAGAATGAACTCGTGTAAGAAACACTGACCACGCACGGCTATTCCGTACTGTATCCCCAAGTAGCTCTGCATATTGATGATAAATAAACAGCGAGTACCGAAAGCAGCTGAGGATCATAGAAAAGCGCACGGGACTGTGGAGGTGGCTGGCGAGACCGACACAGGCCGTTCATAGCTCGTAAGTTACTGTAGACGAATATTACAACAGCTCAAGCATAGGACACGAACATACAAGTACTATCGGATACAAAGAGGGACTATTCATCAACGCTGGCCTTCTTGAGTGTATCCTGCCAATCCATGGCTAACTTGGTCAACGTTCGACTTCGTGCTATTGAGATTTATTAGTTCCACTTCGGTATCCCAACAAGTAGAAGAGGTACCAAAGACATTCAAGACTTCTCTCAACAGATCACGTTTTGAGAACCCTAAGACAGTCGGGGACCAAGAGTCATCCTTCCCAGGGCGCCTAGTGCAAAATATCAGAACCACCTCAGAAAGTACATATCACGCCCCACGTACCAGTAAACAGGCCCGAACAGCTCCTTTATCAACTCCTCCGCTTTACCTCTGAATCCCTCATCCGCAATCTTCTTCGCATAGACAAGCAAGACCTGCTTGAACTCCTGCGGACTCTCCACACTCTTTGCTGCATGCAACTTCGTCTCCAGATGCCCGAGTGTCATCGCGATGTTCCACCACCCCGGCCGTGCCTGATCCGGTTCGACGTACCCCTCCTCCCCAGGACGGGGGTTACGCAGCTCGCCTTCGATGCAAGAAACGACGCCACGCGCGGCGACCTGGCTGTTCGCTCGCTGGCGGCCCTGCCATGCGTCGGACCCGGCGGCCCACCAGCGCTCGCTCAGCTTAATCCAGGAGGACAGCGATGTATCGTAAGAATAAGCCACGCCGTTCGATACTTGGATCACCGGGGCACCGTTGGGGCGTACGAAAGCTGACAGAATACTTCGACCTGGAGGCTCGAGTAGAGGCTGGACTGACACTGGAGGGAAAAATGTCGACCGTTTCTTCACGTTCCTAGCGAGGAGGTCAACATCAATCATATCCTGATCGCAACATTGGTCCTACCAGGCATATAGCATTCCCGACGCTGTGATCGCCATCAAAGCGCATTTAGTGCCATCAAAAAAGGCAGGAGGCGATCCGAGCGAAAGAGTCGGCATTAACCTACCGCCTCAATGAGTGGACTGCCACCTAACAATGCAAAGCACGCACCGTCTTCCTTGCGGAGAATATACATTAACACTTCCATCCTCGGTCGCACAAGCACAATATACTTGCGTCGCAGCCAGTGCTAGCACCGCACTCGGTAGATAATCCAACCACTGCGTCTGCTTCCCTTTCACAAGCACCACCTCGAAGTTATCAGCATTTTCCGAATTCTTAGCCTCGAAGACCAAATCCTCGCTTCCCTCAACCTTCACACTCAGATACGTCAGTAATGGCGGCACACTCAGCACACCACTCGGCCGCCACTGGTTCGGCACACCGACGACAGCGGTCGTCCGCCCGACGATCTCCTTCACAACCACCTGCTCTCTCGGCCTATCCCCACCCAGCGTCCTCGGCCTACTGGGCTTCAACCCGTCGTCCATCAAGTCTGCTGCACTGGCCTTCCTCTTCCCCTTGCCAGCTGCTGAAGCAGAGTCATCTAGCGCTTCGATCCGCACATCCATCCCGCGCTCCATATCCACGTCAAATGAGAAGTCCTGCGCCGCGAAGCTGCTCGACATCTGCATCGAAGATCCAGGGGGCGATGACGGGCCGCTCACGCTGAACGGCGGGGGCTGCAGCCGCATGCTACTCGGGGGCGGTGGCATCGGCTCGTCGAACACGCGTGACGTCGACAGTGGGGGCCGGAATGCTGATGACGACGACGATGCCTCGGGCACGGACGCGGAAGGTATTGATGTCGGCTGGATGCGCTTCTTGTCCTTGCGCTTCGCAACAAGCTTGTTGATGCGCTCCCCGCCGTGCCCGTTCGCCTGTGCATCGAACCCGGTCTGCTGGGCCGGCATTGGCGCAGCGGCTAATTGCGAGGGCACGGTGTGTGAGTACCCTTCTGGCAGCGGCGGCGGGACGAAACCGAACTTGTGGAGGTACTGTTTCTGTGCAGAGAAGGGCGCGATGCCTTCGAGCTCTTCAGGGTCAAAGTTGAAGACGCCCAGCGTGCCGTCCGAGGATACTGCGTACAACGTGAGACCGTCCCACGACCTTTAATAGAGTTTATGATTTAAGTGAATATTACGTCTGATAGTGAAAGAGTAATTATACCAGCTCAGATCCATGATTTGTCGGTCGAAGGCCTCCTTTGCGACGATGATCGGTCGTGCAGACTTTGTCTGCCACACAGAGACAGATCGGTCATCGGCGCCTAGAGCAACAACAGAGCATATATTCGATGTCTTCACTTCACCGTCTGGGTCACGCAGGAAGATGTGGGGGTTGTAACACTAGGTAAACGCATCAATGAAGTATCCGAGCATGACTACTAGTACCTTGACGTACAGCGACTTCGACTGTGTTTTCATGACCAACGAGACTGATCTCACTAGTCCACGTGTTGCGCGATATGACAGCTGCGATGAACACAAAACCCTTGTTATTAGTGGCATTTGAGGCCGTTATGTGTGCACCGTCAGGAGACCAACTTAAGTAACTCGTCAATGTAGTTCAGTCAGGTGACAACGGAAATGTACCTCAGTCTCCGGAAGAACGTGCTGCCAGGTGAATCCTCGAACGGTTTCCTAACTTCCGCTTCTAAGCCCCAATCGGTTGTGCGCCAGATCTTGACCGAACGGTCGTCTGATTGCGTCGCGAGGAACTCCCCAACCGGGTCCCAGCATACACCTTTGACGAAACCATTGTGCGAGTCTAGTTTGCGCAGGCGTTCTGCAATCGGGTTCCGGTAAGGTTTGGTGGTTTTGGTATTGAAATGGACGAGGGGGAACAGACGAACCTAGTGTGAATCCGCACCATACGATAACCTGCGAGTCCAAGCCTACTGAAGCAAGGTAGCGATCTCCGGGAGACCAAGCGAGATCCGTAACGTCTACAAGCAGTCAGTATACCGTAGTGAGTAGATACACCACGTTACGCATACCGCTCTCATGTCCTGGTAGTCGCTTCATAGGTTTCCATCCTTCTACGTTCACCTCATCCGAACCCCAGACCTTCCCTTTAGCAGACCTGTAAGCTGATCAGCCAGCCCCCATATCCTTCCTGCATAGAGACTTACGGGTCCAGATCCCATATCATGACGATCTGGTCGTCACTCCCACTCGCAAGCCACCGCCCCGAATGTGCCCATCGCACGCACAGGACAGGCCCGGTGTGCATTGTAAGTGAACATAGCGCCTTGGGCGGCTTGTTCGACAGCTCTGACACCTCGTTCAGAATGGGTTTCGTGCTCCATATTCGCACTTTCGCATCGAGGCCCCCTGTAGCGATCCGAGAGTCGTCTGGGTGGACATGGACGGAGAATATGGAGAGGCGCTTGGTTTGGTCGCCCTTGATGGATGTATCTGCTCAGGAGATGTTAAAGCTGGATTACCCTCGAAATTCACGTCCCCACCTTTGTGTGCCACCCAAGCTGGTTTAGTGAACCTCATTTTAGCGCAAAGCGAGCATGTACACGGCAGGCGTTCGCGTTCGAACGTTCAATGCAAGTGCGACCTGCGAAGCTTCAAGCACCGGAAAGATGCCGACCACGTGGCACGACAGCCCGTATATAATGCAAAAATTCACGCCAAATGTCCCTTCACGACCAACTCTTACCACTCCTTCGAACCGACGTGTCTGACTTGGAAGGAGTAAATTATGGTGGTCAAGAGTGAACCGGATCCACTTTCGCTAGCAGCTCTATGTCTTGTCTTGGGGCAGGACTATGATGGTCTTCTAGATAGTGGTGAGATCTACATCACTCGTTCCGAGTCGGAGGGTATCTTCGAAGGACACGGAGGTGGAAAAGACTGCATGAGGAGACTTGTACGAGGGAGTGGGGTGGGGTTCGTTCCATTTGTTCGAAACTGTGTTGCATATCCGTAGGAAGTCATATGGACAGGCTTTCTGTACAATGCGTGTGCCCACAATGTCTGCAGTGTGCACGTACGTCCTGTTACAGAGTTCGACGGTAGGCGTTTGCATTATTCACATATTGAGGATCCCCCATCACCTGGCGCTCGGTGCCTATCGGTATCGTGTACATATCTCGGGATAGGAGGGCGGACTTCTGCAAGTGTGAATACAGCGCTTGCGAGGGACATACAATTCGCACTGAGAATTTTGATCCACACTCAACTACCAGAGAGGATACTTGGTGCGTTGGGCAAACTGCTGGTACACGTCAATAATGTGTCGGCTCCGGACAAGCTCCAATGCAGACGCACCAGGCTGGTGAACCAAACATCTACTCACCCATGTCAAAGTATGTGGATCAGAATGCGAATAATATAGGGATGTCCCTGACATACAACGCTCGATATCCCGCCGTCAAAGTGCGCAGCTCCCCAAACCATGTAACCGCGCTATCCCACTCGTCATCACAAGGTGGCTTGTGAGGTTGAATCATAGTCAGAGCCACTGAACATGGTGCAACTCCACATGCCACAGTGTGCGAAAGGAGGCCTGCAGATAAGGAGTAAAGCCGTCACGCTCCCCCCCAAGAGATGGACGCAACCTCGTGGACTGGATTAAAACATTGGCAGTCTGCCATATTAAGGGCTGCCAAGGTATCAAAAGACGGGGGAGTACGACTTCCGAGCTAGGAAAGCAGCCCTCGAGGAATCATGTTTATACAACTGTTGGGCAAGGATATGGTGTGGGGGTCAGGCGGGAGCTGGGAGCTGGGAGCGCGACCATGGGTGGCAGGTTCACGATCGAAGGTTAATCACCACAATCACCTATGTTCGGGGTGAAGCCCAGCCTCTGAGTCAACTATGCACTGACCGTTGGTATCTGCACCGGCCACTAGTACAGAGTGTGCGAAACCATTCGAAGTCCAGACGAGCACGCACGCCGACTGGGTTAGAATACCAGGAAACAATGAGGGCGGAGCATAGAAATGCAATCTGGCAAGATAACGACTCACTCATGGGCATGGATTCGTGACATACACGAGACTGCCGGCTAGGTCAAGGATACGACCAGACGGCCCAGCAAATGTCACGAGGGACACCCGGGATCTAGTTACGGGAGCGAGCCTGGTAAGCATCCACGGACCTTGCGTACTGTGTTAAATCGGATTGAAACGCGAGTTCTTTCCCAAAGGCAGCGAAACAGCCGTCGATCTTGCGAAAACTTGGACGGTCTGCCAAATCAAGGCGAGGGAGCTGCGAACATGATACTGGATGGTGGTGTCGGCATCGGAGCTATACGAGTTGCGCTAGCTTGACCCTGGTACGAGCATATCGACAAAGTGACTGAGGATGCGGTAGCTGAGAATCGGAGACTGACTGCACGACGAGATCTGATTGCAGGAAGTCCACAGAAACCGCAGAGATGGTATTCAGTCGGCCACACTTGGGGAAATACCCAGCCAGACAGGGGCCTAACGCTGGTTACGGGGACAGGAACACAATGCCTCGTGGAGCATCAATACGGACAAAACTCGATACAGGCTTATCAGATAACAAGATCCGGACGCGCAGAAGAACACCTCGTCGCTGGTAGAACTGCGCGAAAACCCATGATGAAAGGGGTGTGAGTAGACTTCTCCCAAGGTTCGTCACAGGAGCAAGAAGACTCTGAGTCCGAAGAAGAGGTGACGTACAGAAGGATTAGACGCAACGACCAACCTTTTGCAAGGCGAGGATACGCCGGGTGAAAGGCCATTATGACGGGAATGCATGGATTTACCGGCTCCGTCGTAGCCAGGAAGGGCATTACGCATACTTATGGGGGAGTGCGCGTTCGATATCGCAATTTCGGTGCAGGGAGGCCAGGGTTAATACGAGCTGGGAGTTTGCTGCGGCTAGTAGTCGAGTGAGACCTCGCGTCAGGGAAAGCCGCATCCACTTAGCCACGGCGCGTCACGAGGGAAGCAGGTCATCAGTTACGACACAATATCTCAAGCTCAAAGCTCACACCTGCTGGATTGACACCGAACTTGGAAACCAAGGTCCGCTGGTATGACACCAAGGGAACCTAAGAAGCTAACGGATCTAGCGGTGAGTCTTTTCCCAGAGATAGCAAAGAACGCGCCGATCCTCGAAAAACTTGGACGGTTTTCCGGATTGGGGTGGTGGACGGCGATCGCCAGTGGGAGGGGTATATAAGGTTGACGCTCAGCGGGTTCACCGGGCGTATTAGGTCGAGGTGGTGAATCAGAACTTTGTTGGCGTATTGGGAGCGACGAGGAAGCCAAGTTCGACGATATCAGGCAAGTCCTACCTACCAACGCATCCTGCCGTGTAGTCAAATATCAGCACGGACTTACTAGCCAGCGGGAGCGAGACTGAGCCGTTGAATATGCCAGGGGAATAGAAACCAGCGGTCTCGTGGAGCATGGAGCATCGAATCGTCTCGGTAGCTGGTTCCCTTATCATGTATCTCGAGATCCGGACGCCACAAATGCCAGTCGCTGGAATTCCGGGGAAACCGCCGTCGCTCTGAATCTGCGCCTGGTTTCGTTTGTGGCATGTGAGCAGAGTCGTCAGAAATTCTGAGTGAGGCCGAAGAGAAGAATGCGGGGAAGGTGACGTACAGAGGGCCGAGGATCTCAGCCGCTTCCGGGAAGATGAAAGGCAGACTGCGAGAGGCGGTGAGAGTGCCGCTCTGAACCACGTTTCGAGGCTTGCTGGCTATGCAACCCACCGACAGCAACCTGCACACCTATCAAAGTGGCAGGACGAAAGCGCGTTTGATACCGCGCTGCGAGCGGCCCTGAAGCCGGAGGCCTAAGATCCTGGCAACATGCCACGTTCAAACTCAGAGGGGTTATTCCAGAGCCCCCGGGTGTGCTCTGCAGAGTTCCATCTTGACGGGGCCTATTACTTTCAAACTACCCCAGGTTCGGCGGTCCCAGGTTACGTCTCACGAAGCAGCAAGAAGGTTAATCGCTTAATGGATATGGGCCTCATCAGCCCCCGAGCGGGTTCATACAATGCATTACCCCCGGGGGCGGACACGAGTATCAGGCTTCGATTATCCTACAAACGCACGCAGATCACCAATCAGCGGCACGCCATGAGGCCGAGCGGGGACTCACGATGACAGGCTAAAATGAAGTGTTACAGACAAGCTTTGCGTATCGGTTGGGAAGATACGCTGTACCATGGATAAGAGCCGTAGTTTACTACATCTTTGAAAGGCAGCGGGGTAACGAGCGCAAGGCGAGCCGCTCGGGCATAGAACGCGTCAAGTCCGCGCGTGCGTCAGGCGACCTCTGATCCCTGCCTCATGCGTTGGTACTGGCAGCAAAAGGCAACAGACCGTGCACTTTCCAGCGTCGTGCCCTCCGAATCTCATGGCCAGCCGTAAGCAGGACAAACGGGGTATGCAGCAGGGCCATGGATGTGGCGGCGCGGGTCAAACAGGGCAGGCGGCTCGCCACCGGGAGTTGCCGGCTGGTCAGTTGAGACTGGCAGAGAAGTATTTTGATGTGAATTGCCACCTGCGTATTTCTACAACACACCCGACTGCACCGCGATGGCCTGCCCGCGCCAGTGCTAACAGCTGCCCCCGCCGACTCCGACGTCCCCTATGTCACCGGCGCCGTCCAGCATGTCGCCGCCGCGCCCCATCCTCAAACGCTCGCCCGCCACCGCCCCGCTCGAGTCCCCCACAAAAGCGCGCCGCGCCCGCGAGCAGGGCGTGCGCTTCCCGCCGTCGCCGAAGCTCACGCGGATGCACACGACGCACTCGCCGTCGTCGTACGACCGCTCGCCCATCGTCGTCACCCCCAACGCGTGCGCGCTCCCCGCGCGCGGGTGCCCCGGCAAGACGTACGTCCTCGGCGACGCGCCCGCCGCGCAGAGGACGGGCAGCCACCCGCACCCGCGCGCCGTGCAGGCGAATACGGGCGTGGGCCTGGGCATACAGCTGCGCGGGAGGGAGAGGGAAAGGGAGAGGACCGGCGATCGCGATAGCGATCCCGAGCGCACGCCCACCCTTGCGCCCAGCCATCCACCGCCATCGGCCGCTTACCTCCCCATCCCAGCGCTGATACCCGATCTCTCCTCCGAATCCGACGAGTCCGATGGCTTCAGCAGTCCGCCGCCGCTGCAGGCGTCCTTCGCCTCATCCACTTCTTCCTCATCCTCCTCCTCGTCCGCCCAGATACCCATACCTATACCAAACATCAAACAACAAGGAAGGCAATCATCATATTTATCTTTTAACGACCACACCAGCATGAACGACCACATGACCTTGACTACCCCCACCGCTACCCCGACCAGCACGCTCCCCCCGTCCCTATCGCGCGACGAAGACAAGGCGCGGCGGAAACGGCAGAGCCGCAGCAAGCGCGACCGCGACGTGCGCGAGCGCCTGTCGCAGCTCGAGATCGGGTGGGAATCCGGGCACGGCGTGGGCCACGAGGACGGCCAGGCGGACGACGACGACGAGGGCGAGGAGCAGTACACGCCGCCCGCGTACCGCCCGTTCTCGAGCCGCATGGCGATGACGAGCTGCCACCTTGCTGAGAGCGACGAGGGGTGTCTGGCTGGGTTTTGAGCTGCGTTCGGCGCCTGAGATCACGACGAGTCCATTTTTTACTTATTTATGGGTGTTATTATTGTGGAGGGAGGGGGGGAGCGCCAGTGTGCAGGACTGTTCCATTTTGCATCGCATTGTATATTGAGAACGAGAAGGAAGAGAAGTACCGAAAGCAATTCAATGTGTTTTTATCCCGCTGCCACATCCCGGATCGCCGTCGCGCCAGGGTCATGCGAACGCGCGCCGCGTCGGGGTCAATTTCTCTTGACCTGCACAATGCTCTCCATTGTCCGCAGTGGCTGGACTCGACAAGTGCCATGTCCAGACCTTTGACTATGGTAAGGTCAACATTCCTTTGTCCCTCCTCGACCATTCGCTCTCTTCAATCCTTTCTACTGAACCCCCCTCCTCCGACATGCTATAAACAGCAGACCCACGTACAATCCCTGGGAGCGCCGTCCTGCAGGACCGCCCTTCCCCCATCAGCAGCCAATATACTCGCGCCCGGGACGTACTTTGCCCCGCATGACGAGCTGATTACGTCTGTGCCGTTCAATAATGCTCAGGCTGCGGGCGGTGGGTAATATATATGTAGAGCTCCCTATCTACAGTCTCGTGCTGTGCTTACCCGCGCTGATAAAGGTCGACATCGCATCCCCTGCGACGTCGCCGAAATGGCGATGTACTTGGACTGTGCCAATCGCCCAGCTCAGCCTACACGCTAGGCTCCGCAACTCGGGTATTAATGAGTTCCCAAGGTAGGGCATCTCCTGGACAGGATGTGCCGTATCGTGGCAACCCCGGTGTCCGAGTGCGAGATGAAGGGCGCTGGTGGGTGGTGAGTGGGTACATTTTCTCTCACGATTGGGGGGAGCAGGGGAGAGTCAAGGATTACTGACGATGTGTCGGCGCTTTGCCACACAATAGGGACTTGCTCGTCAGGTATGCACCCATGTAAGCATTGCTCTGTTGACTCCCGAAGTTCTAGTAACTGATCATCTATGTAATTGATTGCAAAAGTGTCGAGCCGATATCTTGAGGGGCCTTTTGAATCACTCTGGAGCCGCACTTATGCTCACATTTCCTCACATGGCCGGGGACCCTTCCTCCACGCAGCCCAATACCACAAGATGGACGGGCGTACTTGCTGGTCCACGCCACTGTTGGGCTCTCGGGTGTCTGTGCGTATCTTAGATCAGGATTCTGAAGGTGACTGGATGGTACACGTTTGTCATGGAGGACACCTGACCGGTCATCTACAACGGCATCGCGAACCATGCAGAGAGAAATAGCCCGAAGTGGCCCTCTGCCGATTTCAAGAGATGATCACACCTCAGCCCCGACGACTTGTTTTGCAAAGGCTGCACCATCGACGCTCTCAATCCCGAAGGATTAGGGTACCTCTGGTTCGTCTACGGGGAGGAAGTTGCACCGCATCGCAATACTCTGGAATCACAGGACAATCTTCGAGCAGGCGAATGACTTGCAGACTGCAGTCCATCGGAGGTCCCTGGTATGTTGCACATCCATCGCAATGATACTATCTCAAGTACCATTGCATTGAAGGGTACATGCAGCCAGTGCAGCCTCACGGACGCCTGGGGCATCTTCTTTATGAGCCACCACCGTTAAGGTCTTGTGATCCACCTGCTCTTCTCGTCCGCATACCCTGAGGAGCCTGCAGCTTCTGATTCTTCGTACGAAGTTCAGAAGGTCTAGACTCATGCGCGAAAGGATGAGAGGTTGCCATGCATCCCCGCCGCTCTTATCCCGCACCACATACATATACCGATTTCCAGAGCACCAAGCTCTAGTGTTGATCGAGTGCCAATGCTCCTCCAAGTCGTCGTCGCTGTCGCCAGCGTCAGTGCCGCGGCTATCGCCGCCGCCGTGCCGGACCCGCCCCGCACAAACCAGACGAACCTGCCGCCACTGGGTCCCGCCCTCTTCAACGCATCCTCCCGCGTCGCGATCAACGGCAGCATCGACGACGTCTGGGCGGCGATCCTCGACTTCCCCTCCTACCCCAACTGGAACCCATTCGTCCGGTGTGTCTCCACCCCCACTCACCGTCTCCCCTTAGTATCGCCAGCTGAACGCACATACTGTAGCTCCGCCGTGCTCACCGACGAGGCCTTCATCCCGCTCCCCGCCTCCGAGCAAACCTTCGCCGCGAACAGGCACGTCATCTTCCAAGTACAGATCCCACCTCTGCCGCTCCCCGTCTCCGCCAGCACCCCTGCGAACCTGCTGCACTCCCAAGTATCCTTCGAGAACATAACCGCGCTCGAGCCTGCCCTGCGCCGGGTAGCGTGGAAGCAGGTCATGCTTCCGTACGCCCTACTGAGCGCGGAGCGCTGGTCCGCGGCGAGCGTAATTGCGGACGGGCCGGACGCGGGGAAGGTGCTGTACGAGAGCCGCGAGGGGTACGAGGGGGCGCTGGCGCCCGTGCTGCGGACGCTGTATGAGCAGGGCCTGCAGGAGGCCTTTGATGCGCAGGCGGTGGCGCTCAAGGAACTGGTTGAGAGGCAGTGAATGCTGCGCCTTTCCAGTGGGTGTCGCTTCGGGCAGGTTATGCGCGAACTGTAATCCGGGATCTCTTGACGGTGTCCGAATTGCTCACTATCGTTCCCTGGGTCTATTTCTTGTTGAGGATGATATTATGGAATCATTTCTGCAGAACACAGATATATGGATGGTGTTACAAGATATGTCGCGGACGATACTACAATGCAGAGGCCAGACGAATGTACGTCCTCTGTAGCCAATTCAGGGCGTATTGTACGCTGAAAACTTAGAGCTACCGAGAGCTCAATTCGAGGATGATCCTGAGAGACGTCTAATCTAATCCTGGATTGAGTTTAGGTTCGACCGTCAATTAGCGACCAACACGAAGAAGACTACTGACCCATGGATTAAACGCCACATCTTCGACAAACGCTCGATCCTTCGCTTCGTCCTCCACCCGCCAATCTAGCAGCTGGACAGTTTCAGCCGCCTCTGTGTCTGCTTGTGTGTGATGGGCCTCAGGCTCCGGCGGCTTCGGTACAGACTCTGGTCGAGATTCCTGGTCTTGATGAGCCGCATGCAACCCGTTCCCCGGGCGAGTCTGCACAGACTCCCATGGATTCCTCAGGGCAGCAAAGAGCTCTGGGGCTGATACAGCCGGAGCCTGTGGCTGGGTACAGCTGATCTCGGTCGCTCCTATGGAGGTCGATGTCTGCTTCCCTGATGACACTACGTCGCCCAATCCGACAATCTTTATCCGGAGAATGTTGCCTGCCAGACCGGTCAAATTCAAGCCGGTGCCGTCGTTGACGAGAATGGCGTGGACGGTATTCTGCAATTCAGATATTCAAGCGACTCAAGCGGACAGCGTAAACCGCCGGCAACGTACCTGCGACGTGCTGCCACTGTCATCTACTGTTTCATCCGCCGCGTGGGCCACTTCGGACTCTGAATCCGCCGTAGTCTGTAACTTCGAATCAATGATGATCTGCGCTGGTCTCGGTGTCTGAGACGTACGAAACTGTCCATGCCATGCGCCTCGTCACTCCGTAGAGCTTCCTGCACATAAGTGAGGACATCCAGGCGGGAGACGATAGTCGAATATGCTCACAGTATCAACCACAGGGTGCACCTCTGCATCATGCTAGAATGGTATGTCAGTCCCTTCGGTTTTTTTTTTTTTTTTTTTTTTTTTTTTTTTTGAATCCAATTATGGTCCCGAGGGCGTTGCCCTTATGTTGGACCTTACATACAACATGCTACAATCTATGCTGCAGGACGCGGAAGTGAGACTGAAACAATGCGTAGCTCCCCCCGATTGAGGTGCGGAGCTCGCGGGAGACCTTTGTTAGAAATGTAACGGCGGTGGCGGAGTGAGATGATGTTCAAAAGAAAAGAAGGTCAAAGGCAGGAATCCCGGCCCAGCGCATTAAAAAACCCCTGTGGGGAAAAAGCTACTGAGCTCCTCTGCCAAAGCCTGTAGGCTCTCGTCGCCCCCAAAGAAGATGAAGACCAGGATTTGATGGGTTTCCACCTCTTTGAGCATCCCGAATATAGATGTGGTGATTATTGGATGATTGGTATAGCAATTAAAGTTGAGGTAGTTTAGGCATTGATACTGGCGATGACTAGGAGGCAAAGGTAGTCAAACTGATCACTTAGGCTTTAAGCTCTCACCGTAGGCTGGATTGAATCGTCCGGTTTGGTGTAGATACTTCAGCAGGGGTTTGACGTGGCGGGACAGAAGCGTCGGTAGATGGATCGCAGTGCGGCGAAGCTTCTTCTGCAGGGTGTGGCGGGCGCGTCGGTACTGGTCGCATTCGAGAATAACGTGTCGGACGTCTTCGCGATGACCGGGACAGTGGGGACAGTCAGGTGAATCCGCCTTGCCTATGCGGTGTAGATAGCCATTCAGCGGGACGTGGCCGGTGCGCAGTTGCATAATGAGGGAAGCTTGAGGACGTGTGAGGCTTTCCGTGAGGTCCAGGTATGAAGCCGACGGGAGTTTGGCGTCAATCGCTGCGGTTTTGGCATAGCGAGGGGATCGCGCCCATTCGATCTGCCACGTGCGTTTCGTTTGGGCACGGTAGGCTTGCTTGATCGCGGAGACACTGTGCGGTAGCGGGCCTTGGCAGAGAACCTGTGGTAGTTGGTCGTTAGGACTGACTTTACCTTCTGCAGCGAGTTTTGCCTCTTGGTCTGCATGTTCATTTCCGGGGATCTTTTCATGCCCAGGAGACCATCGGATAGTAAGCTTCAGGGCTGGGTTGTCTTGGAGGAGAAGCCGAGCCGCTCGTCGGACGTGCTGGAGGATGTAGAAACCGGGTCTTCGTTGGTGGGATGGTAACGCCTGTATGACAGCTGTATTATCAAGGCTTATATGAATGTTACCTTCCAGGGTTGGCTCGCGGCAAAGGAGCTCTAGACCGAGGAGGACACCTATACCCTCGCCGCCATAGACGATTTGTCGGTTAGTCGGGCCAAGGCAGTAGCGGAGGGTTGTCGGCGGGCTATTTGGTTTCAGTAGCACAGCAGCAGCTCCGATGTTACCTTTGTAGCCTGACCCATCGGAGTACACACGGATAGGAGCGCTTGCGATTGTTGCTTCTTCTGCTATTGCAGCCTCTTTTCCAGCAGCGATATGCGTCTTGAAGGGAGCTTCCCAGTTCGGCGGGGGTCCTACAGAGTCGATGGTCTCGATTTCCTCGGGCCGGATTTCGAAGTGGTGGAACAGCTCGTGAAGGGCCGAGCGGTGTCGTTTCACATACCGTCGGGAGGTGCGTCGAACAATTGGGTGTAGCGGATGGGTCTCGGGAAGCGTGGCGAGGCGGAGGGTGGCGCGGTGACAGACCAGGTTGAGTTGGTGATGTATCGGCCATAGGTTCGCATGGGCATCTAAGGTGTCAGTAGCAGTACTGCGAAGCGCACCTGTTATACAGGCAGCCGCCGAGCGTTGAATGGTTGCAAGACGCCGTGTCACCGCAACAGATCCGGCACGATACTTACGGCCAGTGGAGGTTCGGACTGGCGTATACCAGGCCTCAGCAGCGTGCATCGCCTTAGGGATACCTACCGTGGAGTAAAGCCTATGGGCAGCTTTTGGTGGGAGGCCATAGGTGGTCTTGCTAAGCCGCCGGAGTTGATATGTCCACTGGGCAAGCTTGGTCACAACATAGTCTTCGTGCGCCTTCCATCGTAGTTCTTGGTCAAGGATAACCCCTAGAAACTTGTGAGTAACAAGGGGCTTTATGATCGTACCTCTGAGTTCCAGGCTGGGCCGTGGTGCAGGCTTGGTTTTCCGAGTGGCAGAGGGGTTGGTCTCGGGTACGCGGGCTCTGGCGAAGTGGACGAGACCAAATTTGTTGACTTCGAACTTGGAGTGGTGCTTCTCTGCCCATTCAAAGGCGCCTCCGGGTCGCTCCATCATGTCCTTGAGAGCGGCGGTTGTCTCTGTGAAGTTTCGACCAATCGCTATTAGGGCCGCGTCATCGGCGAATGCAACGGCGTCTTCTCGGTTGCCGTTCGGGATGTCGAGGAGATGCGAATTGTAGAACTGGAAGATGATCATTGAAAGCGGGTCACCTTGTCCTAGGCCATTGATGATGTCGATCCAGAAGGATTCATAGTCGTCGAACTTCAATTTCGTGCGGCGGTTCGACAACATGCGTTTGACGAAGCGGACATATTTCTCGGGTATGCCACGTGCTCGCATGTCGTGGAGAAGCCGCTCAGTGACAACATTGGGAAATGCGCCTTCAATGTCCAGGAAGAGGATAGAGACGACTTTCTTGTTCCGCCACGCGTGCTTGATGTGTTGTGTAACCAGCAGTATGGAGTCGGATGTCGTGCGTCCAGGGCGTCCGCCGAAATGTTTAGCTGGCAGGGCGCCATGCCTTTCGCTGATGTACGCGATATCCTCAGTGATAACCTTGGTCAGTAGCTTACCTATGGTGGCATAAAGGGCTATGGGCCGGTAAGCTTTGGGTATACTGTAGTCGGGCCGGCCAGGTTTCCGCAATACAATTGTGTGCCATTCGAGCCATGGGGCATAGTAGGTGTCGAGGTCGAATACTGCCCTGAAAAGAAAGTATAAGTGGTCAAGTAAGAGGTCAACGCACTTTTTCAGGACAATGTTCTTGACACCATCGGGACCCGGGGCTTTGTGCCCTGCAAGTGATGCTATTGCTCTTCGGATTCGTGCTCGGGTTATGGGGCGGAACTTGGAGACGGGTGGAGGGTAGTCGTCCATTTCCTCGGGGTCGACCAGGGAATGCGCTGGGGGCTCGGGGAAGAAGGCTCCTGCTAGCTGTGTGCATCGGTCTTGGTTAGTGGAGGCTTCTCCGGTTACTCGACCATCTGGGTCCTTGATTTTGAGGGTAGGTACCCGAGTCTTGCCGCCGTCGCCGATAGGTCCCGAGATAAAGTTGTTGACAGTCCAAATGTCATTACCTTCAGCCTCACCTATGAAGGTCCGCCAGTGGTTGGTCTTCTGGGATCGGATAGCATCCCGGTATTCCTTTTCGACGGCACGGCAGGCGGCGTGACTGGGGTGATCATCGATGTAGCGGTACTTGTAGGCCTCATTGCGAGCCTTGCGGAGGGCCTTGCGTTTTGCTGTGAGATCGCGTGTCCACCAACGCTTCATGTGAGTACTAGGTTTGAAGAGCGGGATTTGATCTTCGATGGTAGCAGCCAGCGCGGCGTGTAAACCTTGAGCGCGGGCATTGAAGTCGTCGATCGTGGTGATACTCGCCGGGGCACCGAGGGCTGTGAGGTGAATCTTGAGGGAGTCCCGGAACTTCGCCCAGTCCACGTCACGGAAGTTACGTGTTTCCGACGGTGCGGCAGTTGAGACCTGAAGGTCGAGGACGGTCAGTATCGGGTAATGATCAGTGCCCGTTGGAGTCCAGCCACGTTCGACCTTGCACTGCACAAGCTGTTCTTGTAGGCGGTTAGACAGGAATACATTGTCAGGCCGGTATTCCTTCTTCAGGCGCTTGTGTTCGAGTGTAGCTGTTCCCGGCGGTAGGGCCATGAATAAGTCCAAGTCGGCGACATGATCGAGGAGGGTTTGAGCACGTCGGAGGTTCGAGGCCGTAAAACATTGCGCATTGGACTGGAGCTCCCAGGTGGGGTGCTTCCGGTTGAAGTCGCCGGCCCAGAGTATGTTGTTCGGGGCCTCGGGACAGAATCGGGGCAGGTCGTGGTCGCAGAAACGTCGGAGTGCCGTGAGCGTGTTGTCATCCTTGTCAGTATTGTAGATGTTGCAGATCGTGAGCGCCTCGCGTTGGCCACAGAGATGGAGGATGGTAACGTCAGGGTGTGGGAAGTCCAATTGTCGCCAGTCATTGGTGCTGAGCCGAGTGTTGACGAGGATGACGGAGCGTGTCGGGGCTGTCTTAGAGAGATGGTTAGTAGGGTAGATTACGCGCCAGCCACTTGTGGCTTTAGTGTTATTAAAGGGGTCGATGTATGGTTCTTGGATGAGGAGGATGTCCCAGTCACGGTGGAGGTGTTCGCGGTTGAGGAGATCGAATGTTGCGTGGACTGACTTGTTGAGGTTCTCCTGCCAGATTCGTAACTGTCCGGCACTTCGAGAAGGGTCGTCAGACATGGCGTTGTGATCCGTTGTAGATAAAGCCATCGAGCGTCGACTGTCGGCTATGGCTGCGAGTATGTTGATCTCTGTTGGCGGGCGCTGGGGGAGCGCCGGGAGCGCCGGGAGTACCGGGGGTGGGAGATCGTGGGCGAGAGGGTACCGAACGTTGCGATGACATGCTGTGATCACGTCGTGGGATCGGTTGCTGTGTCTTGAGCAGGGTGTCCAGAGGTACTGATCGACGGAGGCTGGGGTTTAGGGCGGAGGTCAGCGGGATGCACATGGTCTGTGTCCAGGCTTCGTCAGTAACAAAATAGGGGAGTGAATTTTCAGGGCGTCGGATGTCGAGCCGCTCACATTCCCGTCGGAAGACGGGGCAGTCCCTGTTCCAACTAGCATGGTCAGTAGTGTGGCAGTTAGTGCAGTATACCATCCTGGAGGAGCATTGTGTCGTGCGATGGTCCTTGCCGCACGTTCCGCATGTATCTCCTTCAGCTTGACAGTCCCTTGCGATGTGACCGTAGGTTTGGCACCTTGCGCATCGGATTGGTTCCGCAGCTTCCCGACGTGCACGTAGACGCTTCTGACAGATAACTAGCCCTGAAGTAATAGCGCTGTTTGCCGTTTGCGGATCGCGGAAGTATAGTATGGCGTGCGCAACTCGTTGGTTGGGCTTTCGGCGGTGGATAGGGCGAATCCAGCGGGCGCGTGTGATTGAGTTGGGTTCGTATTCGTTGACTTCCTCGATTTCGCGAAGGTCATCGGGGCGGTCGGGGTCAAACTGTATGGGCACGAACTCGGCAAGGACTGGGCAGGGTTGTCGATCGCGAATGACCGCCGTTGGATGATACCGTTCTTCGAAGGCGCCGGAGTTCTGTCGTAAGTAATCAGCGCCTTCCCGGGTACGTACCTCGTATAGAATCCCTCCAGTGGATATCTTGGAGGCTGCTGCTATGTTGCAGGATCCTATCTTGTCAGGCCAGAGGTCGCGGATGATGGAATTGGCTTTGTCGACTAGAACTTTGTCGGCAAGATTAAGTACGTCTTTTCGGGCGTCGGGGTCAGCGATGTCAATGAGGATTTGGCGAGCTCTGATTTCGGCCTGTGCTCGGGCTCGTACTTCAACTGGTGAGGCGTCCGGTGCTGTGTACGTTGGACCGGGTCGCAGAAGAGCATCCCGGTATAGCGTTGTCCCTGTGGTCATGTGGGTTGTGTTAGTCTGTGTCGTTACCTTTGCTACCAGTTCATTGATCTTTGTGATGGTGGCCTGTTCCATATTGTCGATTCGTCGGCTCACAGCCTCACAGAGATTGTTCGTCACATTGGAGACTTCTTCGTCTCGCAGGAGGATCGCTACCGCCAATACAGCTTCTTTCCAGGCACGGCCGCCGGACGTCTCTTTCGTGGAGGCTACTAGGGCATGCGCTAGCTTACCAAGCGTGATTTCTTCCACCTCAAGCAAATAGTTCTTCTTGATAAGATAACTCTTCGCAGACGGAGCGTCCTTGACCGCGCCGGTGAGAGCTCCCGCCCACGGATCGGACCGGAGTCCGGGTCGGCTGCCCGGGGTCTTCGTCGTGGGGTCGTTGACAGTGCCTGTCTTGTCAGTTGGTGTACCGGACATACCTGAGGTATTAGTGCTAGGTATTTTAAGTAGTGGATAGAGTGGGAACAGAAGCAGATGTAGGAAGCAGAAAGTCGCCTGAGAGAGGAATTATGGATGTAGAAACTACTCTAATGACCGCCTCGCTGTGGGACCCCGGAAGGGTGCCAGCTGGTACGGAGTCAAGAAGAGTCAGTCCCTCGGTTGTCAGCTGAATAAGTATGGTAGCGTTGCACCTTTTGGTGGAATGCATGACTCTCGAAGCCTACTCTGCAAGCGTCACAAATGGGGTGTCTGCTTGCCTTCAGATAATGGCTAGGTAGATCCTCTTCGTAGAACGTCTTCCCGAGCTCTGGACATAGACTGCAGGCCACTAGCTGATGCGAGCACAACTTATGCTGCAGAGTAAGCCAACACCGAAGGATCAAAATGGATGGCTCGGTGAATATTAGGACATACAAACCACTTTGAGAATCTTGGCATCGTAGAACCCCTTCGAGCATCGTTCGCAAGTGGGATGCCGCCCGCTTGTTCTGAAATGTTCGTCGAGTTCATCGTACGAAGAAAACCATTCGTCGCAAATTGGGCATTGCGGCTGATGATCAGGACTGGTTTTCCTATGCTGATCCCATTATATTCTCCTCAGTATGGTTTCTGAGCGGGTATGTCCATAAATCATCACTTACGGCCATGTAATGCCCTTCCAATTTGAATCCTTTTTTACAGCATTGGATGTGCGAATCCGAGGTCTTCAGGTGCTCGGTAAAAGCTTGTTTGCAGGCGAATACCAGCTTCTCGCACGCTGGACATGGACAGGTAATGCGTGCGGGATTATTGTGATTCACTTCAACAACCGAAGTGAGGATTGGAAGCGGCTGCGGTGCTGCGGTATGCGTTACAGGATTTGTCGGCCCCTGTGTGTAGGTCACGCCTACACCCCCGCTCGCGGACCCACCAACGCTCACTGGGTAACTCGAGGGAGCAAGTACAAGTGATTGTGCTTGACCCGGAGGATTGCCTGCCATATCTGTATGTTTGTATAGCCGGTGCTAGATAAAACAATTAGTATTGTTCTGCTCCTGCTCCGTACGTGAAAGCTTGACGGCATATCCTTGATGCAGGATCGCAACTCACGACATGCAACAAGTGCCGGTCATAGAACCCCTTTCTGCACGGGTGGCACTTGGGGTGCTTTGCAGCGGTTCTGAAGTGTTCGTCTAGTTCTTCGTACGACCTGTAGCGTATCTTGCAGATGTCGCATTCGGGATTGTCGCGGTGGTTTTTGTGGTTCTTCCAGTGCTATTCAGTAAATCAGTCAGGGCTGCCTTCTCCCTAGTTACCTATTCATACCAAGACGTAGCCAGACTCAGTCCTGAAACCCACGTTGCAAGACGAGCAGTGAGGGTGCGACGGGGAAGTGAGTAGATGATGAGCCAAAGCATATCGGTTGCTGAAACCCTTCTTGAAACAGGAGGGGCCGTCGCAGAATACTAGCCGAGACATGATGGGCGCCGACAGAGTGCTCTCAAACTGGCGATCAAGTTTAGGGAGGGATGGTCAGCAAACAACCCTTCCCATCTTCGACCTCGTGTATAGGTATGCTTCCACCACGAGCCATACCACGGTGTCAAGGAATAATTAGATAAGCACGAGGCAAACGCACATCATCCGCAAGGGACATAGATTACTGGACATGGTCCCACATTCCCAGCCACCGATCGGAGGAAGCCCGCTCCAACGCAAGGCGGCACAACGTACGACACAATCGTGATTCGATATATCGACCGAGAACGGGTGTCAAGCTGACGTTTCCCCGCTGAGGTCTACCGGTCCAGATCCAGCTTAAATAAACAGTAAAGAAGGGTTGGCGCCTTGCATGACGGGCACTCCGGCTTCGCGACGATTTTCCCGACAATGCACCTGGGACGACAAATGTCTCCGCATGAGAGGACGTATGTGTATGTAATCGTGGAGTTGACATACGAGTTACAAAATAGATGACCGCACATAGTGGCCGTCATTATTCTCGGAGGGTCCAAATGACAGATTCTACAGCGCAGCGAAGGATACGCCAGTGTCTGGCAAGATGCCTCTTGATAGCTCGATGCATCACACTCTGAGTGGGACTCCTGTGATGCCTTCAGAGTGGGGTTTTGCGGAACCCCCTTCTGGACTGTCACTACCATTGGTACTACACCTAGACTCGTACTCTCAGCCACATGAAATCAAAAACTGAGCACTCACAGACCGCTTCTGCGATGGGTGTCGGACAGCCACTGGAGATCACGGTAGCGGGAGGAAAATTCGCGCCTCTTGTTAATTCGTTACTTGATGTCGTAGTTATACTCTCGGAGTCCGCTCCTTCTTCCAACACTGGCTGGTCATCATCATCCGCTCGTTCAGAAAGCGGGGATAATGAAGCAGTGAATGAAGAAGGAGGAGACGAGAGAGCCTCTACGCTTGTGGGTGAATCCGAAAGATCGGTGATTTTCCCCTCATCTTCGTAAATTTTAAGAAGCGGCAGCGGTCTGATCGTTGAAGCGTCGGCAGGAAAGACGAAGGACTTCGTGCAGGTATCCTCCTCACTTGTGACAATGAACGCAGGAGGCCGCGAGCTGGCACTTGCTGATACAGTTTGGCATGCGGCATTATTGGAATCAGGAAGCTCAAGCTGATGAATGCATTTGAAAAGGTCGTTTCGTGCATCCGAAGATATAAATCGATATAAGATACTCACTGTACTTTCGTACCCAATCCCTTTGTTTTCGTCTTCTCCGCCGGCCGAGGGATACGTGATATTGATGCGGATACTATCGAGGTCGGCAGAGGAAGAGACGGGACTACCATTGCCGCGATCCAACATCGCGCGTGGAATTTCAGTGCCTTCCTGACTGGAGCGGTCACCTTCCCGTGGGCTTTCGGCCTCCCGGGACTTGCTCACTCCGTCCTCATCGGCAGCGCTACTCTCACCGGTTTCCTGCTTGGTTGATTGTCCGGATATACTTATATGAACAGCCAGACGGTGCTAACATCCGACGGAATCAGGTTCGTAGGAGAAAGGAGATGCGGGGGATGACGAACCTCAGCCAGAGATGCTCCATCTTTGAAGCCTTTCTCGCATTCTTTGCATGTAGGATGCAAGGCAGAGCGCGTGTAATGGATTTGCAGCTCCGCAAAGGACTCAAACCTTCGCTCGCAAGATAGACAACAGGCATCCTCGTTTGAAGAAATGCGATCCTACCCGTTTCGCTTCAATTAAAACTGTATATAGTCATCAGCCCGCTGCAATTACGTGCCTGATATGCGCCTTGTGAGCATTGCTGCTCATAGTGTTAGAGTTCCGCTTGTCGCGAGTACCAACATGTACGCACAATACTGTCCTTCTTATCACTGTGTTTCGTGAAACCTGTAGAATCGCTGGGACGACCGGCTTCCGTACTCGGCGACTCCACAGAAACAGCGGAATCGCGCAGGTCCAACTCCGGAGGTATGTAGCCTTGGGTGACCACCTCGTACATACTAGTAGACCTGTATGCGTTTCCCTGCCATCCGTGCGCGGCAGCCCTGTGCTGTTCGGGACACCACAAAACATAAATCGTCGCAGGTGAGACGAGAGGAAGAACCATATATCACGTACATTTCGCATGGCATTTACGTCGACGAACCCCCGTTTGCAAGCCTTGCAGCGGGAGTGCTTTGGGGAATCCCACATGTGACGCGCCAAAGCTTCAGCGGATGGAAACCATTTCTTGTTACAGAGCGGGCCGTTGCAATATACCATGTTGCACAGCGATGGAAAGCAGTGGAGGACGTCAACAATCTGGTAAGGTAGTACCAGGTTGTAGCCCTTCTGAATCCAGATGAGGCAGTCGCATTGCAGCCTCGTGACTTACCGTCATGGGCGTGAGCCATCCACGAGGCAACTGCACGTTGAGGACTGAGTGCATGGCCACAGAGAAACTCCCACGTTCGGAGAGACGGAGAGTCCGTTTGTCAAATCAAATCAAACCAAGAATACATCAGAAGTACGCTGAAAGGAACTCGCCACAAGATCAACGATGTTGTGGAAGACTCCTTCCAATGTAACTCAGTGTCCTTTATACCGACCCCATCATCCCCTGACCGTAGCGACGAGCGGTGAATGGCCGGCGCTGTCCTTGCAGTGCTGCTCTAATGCCTGCCTGGTGCGATATTTCCGGGTGCATGCCGAGCAGCGCAGGTGATCGTCGGCAGACCAGGCCGGCGGCTGCAGATATGCAGACGATTAATGTCGGCAGCTAGGCGAGAAGAACACTTGTTCGACGGGCACTCACAGAGGATCGAACATAGTTAGGCGGGGCGTGGCCAACAGTATCTTTCCAGTGTTGCTCCATAGCTCTCTGTGACGCATACCTGCGCCCGCAAGTGGGGCAATAAACGGGCGATACATCCGAGAAAGTACCCTTTGGAACTCATCAGTCTAGCTTAACGCCAAGTGCATGCGAACGGCACATACGTCAATTTCATGCCCGACAGTATCGCGATAGTGCTGCTCCAATGCCTTCTGCGAGGGATATTTGCGACGGCAATTGTTGCAATAGACCGCGGGTTCGTCACGGTGCGCTGCTGTGTCGCGGTAATGCTGCTCCAGTGCGGTTTTGGTCTTGTACTCGCGGTTACAGCTGCTGCATAGAAGAATTTCTGGTGTTGCCTGGGGTTGAGTCGGACCTGTCGGCTCGATCCCAAGTTGCTCCCCTGCTTCCTGACCATTTATGATTGGGTCCAATATCACAGGGCTGTCTGTCGTTCCAGATCCTCCAAGCTGTTCGTTTACTTCAGAGTGCGACTCGACGATGTCGGAGACTTCAAATCTAGCATGATCCCCTTCGATCTGCTAAGGATCAGACATCGATAGGTTGTCGTAGCCGGGAATAGTATACTCACTTGTTCAGGTTCAGGAGAAGCAGGTGGACTAGGATAGGGCGTCTCAGGAGGAGTCAGGAAGATAGATGGCGCAATTGAGTCGTCGTCGTTTTCGCTGTACATCATCGTCTAAGGAATAATGTAGAGTAGCACGGGCGCGGTGGCTTGTATACTCTCCCGCAGCTGTGTCTCGGCTGAGGCCGAAAACATGCTTTGCAGAGCATGGTTCGTGACAAAGGAAGCAGGGGGAGTGTTGAACGATAGCATAGCATGGATGCAGCTTGAATCGTACAGCAATCCAGGTGCAACCAAGTAAGGGGTCTGTTGCTCGGAAGCGCTACGTATGCACGGTTTCCTCCCTGAGTCGTCGCATTCACATTCTCTGCCCATATATTCGAGTCTTATCTGGTACTTGCGAGGGGAACCAGTGCGGCGGGAGATCAACCGAAGTGAACGGTGCAGGCCGCCGAGGACAGAAACCCCCCGTACCCCCGGCAATTATCAGCGGTTTTACGACGATTTTCTGCCTTCGTGAGCAGCTTCTACGCGACCGCTGCGGTTAACCTCAATACAGACCAGCGATTGCGACTCTGGGTAGAACTCGTCGTGGCCGACCATAAACTGAAAACACATCAGATGTGTCGGGGATTGAGCGGAGAAGAGGTGTTTCTCGGTGGCGGCGGAGCTTCCATTTGTGATAGACGCCCCGCCACACTATTCGGCTTTATCCGGCCTTTGATTCGGTTCAAGTACAACTGCTTTAAGGGAACCCTTGATTTTTTTCTTGCGGATGTATCGTTTGCTCGCTCGACCTCTTTCCCGTACCACCACCTTCCCTGTCCGTTCCTTCCGTTTCCCCAGAGCAACCATGGCCACCGCCAACACGCCTGACTTTGTACGTCTCCTCCCTCTATCGGGCGGGTTGACTCACTTAGCTAATGAACGAATCGGACAGAACAAGCCCTTGTACGCCCCCTTGAGAGAGCTCGACCCCGAGGTCCAAAACATCATTGACAAGGAGACATGGCGGCAGTACTCCGGCCTCGAGCTGATTGCGTCGGAGGTACGCTCCCAGGCAGTTGCTTGCCCTGCATTTGACTGATTAGATCAATCCTCTGTGATAGAACTTGACCAGCCGGGCTGTGATGGAGGCCAATGGTTCCATTCTCACCAACAAGTACTCTGAAGGTCTGCCCTCCGCTCGGTACTATGGTGGTAATGAGTACATCGACGAGCTCGAGGTCCTGTGCCGCAAGCGGGCCCTGGAGGCGTTCCATTTGGACCCGGCCAAGTGGGGGGTCAATGTGCAGCCGTACTCTGGCAGTGTAAGTGCAGACATAGGCTCAAATGAGACCTCGCAGCTTAAATGATAACGTTTTGGTATCTAGACCGCAAAGTACGTACATTTGGAGTCTGTGACTTGATAGCATCCCTCTCACTTTCATTCCTAGCTTCGCTGCTTTGACTGCCCTCCTGCAACCGCAAGATCGGTTGATGGGCCTGGGTCTCCCTGACGGTGGTCACTTAACCCACGGTTACTACACCGCCAAGAAGAAGATCACTGCTTCCTCGATCTACTTCCAGTCCTTCCCCTACAGCCTGGACCCCTCGACACAGCTCATCGATTACGAGGGCCTCTCCAAGCAGGCGAAAGTCTTCAAGGTTGGTTATTCTCACCGATCGTCAGCTCGGAATGCACACTGACGCTATGTCAATTATCACAGCCCAGACTCGTCATCTGCGGTGCCTCCGCTTATCCCCGTGACTGGGACTACGCAGCTCTGCGCAAAGTCTGTGACGAGCACGGCGCCTTCCTGATGGCCGACATCGCCCACACCAGCGGTCTGGTCGCTGCGCAGGAGCTCAACAACCCCTTCGAGTACTGCGACGTGGTCACTACTACTACGTGAGTGGACTTTCCGGTCCGACGTCCCCCGGAGTATCGATAGATGACATACGCCGAACTAGGCACAAGACCCTCCGCGGTCCCCGCGCCGGTCTCGTTTTCTTCCGCAAGGACTCGGCTCAGGCGAGCGACCTGGAGAAGCGGGTGAACGAGGCTGTCTTCCCAGCTTGCCAGGGTGGTCCTCACAACAACGTGAGTAGGCTCTACTGTGAAGTGTATGAATTATGTATTACCCCATCATTACGTGTAGACTATCGCCGGTATTGCTACCGCCTTGTACCAGGCATGCCAGCCTACGTGGAAGGCTTACGCGAAGCAGGTCATCAAGAATGCCCGTGCTCTGGCTGAGGCCCTCTCATGTACGTCTTCTCATGCATAGCTTGGGAAATCGATGTTGACCTGCTCTACAGCGCACGGCTACAAACTGCAAACGGATGGTACCGATAATCACCTGATTCTCTGGGACCTGCGACCCTTGAAGCTCACCGGCAGCAAGGTCGAGAAGATCTGTGATCTGATGCACATCACCATCAACAGTACGTCTCCGTTCCACCCGTCATCGCGCAATCTCAACTAACACGCTCTCGCAGAAAACGCCGTGTCGGGCGACGCCAACGCCCAAGCGCCCGGCGGCATCCGCCTCGGCACGTCCGCGCTCACCTCGCGCGACATGCTCGAGGCGGACATGAAGGTCGTCGCGGACTTCCTGCACCGCGCCGTGCAGCTCTCGCTCGAGCTCCAGCAGGAGGCGGGCAGCAAGCTGCTCAAGGACTTCGAGCGCGTCGCCGCGAAGAGCGAGAAGGTCGCAGTCCTGCGCCGCGAGGTGCGCGACTGGGCGCGGAAGTGGCCCCTGCCCGGCGTGGATGTCTCCCAGCTGCAGAAGCCTGCTGGCTGGCACGACGATTAGATAAGAGGGTGCGTGTGGTGGAAGGGAGTTGCGGGTATGGTACTAGAGAGCGCATGGTCATTACTGTATATCAAAGATTCAACGTCGCGAATCTTGGCACGAGACGGGCTTCAACGTCGTCTAGCCGCTTATTCACTGCTGTATCTGTAGGATTCATCTATTGTTGTGCATACTAGATAGGCGCTACATTCATGGGCGTTGCTACAATACAAGGGTGCTAATGTATGAACAGGATGTCATAGTGTGGATGATGATGAGTGATGATGTGAAGAATGAACTAGTGATGATGTGGGGCATATACTATGAGAACAGCGAGAGCAGTGAGATGAACGGCGAGGGAAGCATAGAAATGCGGAAAGCAATAAAGATAGCAATAGATAATAGACTGCACCGTTTTTCAGCAGACTGGGGACCCGACGACACAGAGAACAAAAGGAAATGGTACAATCAGAGCGGATGCTTCATACCCAGAGGCGGGCCATTACTGAGCTCCAACCCGACCTTCTGGACGAGCGACATCCCGAGCGGCTCTAGCGCCTCCCGCCAGGTCTGCCGCCTCCGGCGGCCCTCGAAGATACACCACGAGCGCTCACCCGTCTCGCCCTCCGGCCCGAAGACGAAGACATTGTCCTCGTTCCACGGCGCCTCGCCGTACGCGAACGCGATCCAGCGCTCCTGCACCGCGTCGCGCACGCGCGCGTACGAGTACTCGTCCACAACCGACATCCCCCAGTCGGGGTCGTCGTACGAGCCCGAGCCCGAGCTCGCCGACGCGGACATCATCTCGACGTCCTCGTCCTCGTCGTCCGAATCGGAGAACGAGCTGGGGTACAGGTCCGGCGAGGACATCGCCGCGGGCATCGGCACATTGTCGAACACGTACGCGAGGTCGACGGGCCCGCGCCCGGGGCCCTCCTGGTCGAAGACGTAGCGGTACACTCCGCGCCCTCCGCGCGCGCGCCTGACGCCGTTCGCGACGCACTCCGTCGGCCACGCGAGCCGCGCGTCGGTGATGAGCTCGAGGACCTTGTCGGGCAGGTCCTCGGGGTCGGTGTGCGCGTGGATGTCGTAGGCGCGCATGAGCGCGGAGGCTTTGGAGAGTGACTGGCAGATGGCGCGGATGCGCCGGGTGACGCCGTCGGGCGTCCATAGCGAAGCGGGCAGAGAGTAGAGGTGCGACGAGGAGTAGATGTCGCCGATAATCATGGGTTGCAGCGAAGGGGCGTGGTGGTGGTGGTGCACGCCAGGGACGTGGTGGTGCGAGTCGGAATGGGGAAGCTTTGGCGCGTGCTTCTCAACATGGGCGTGCGATTCGGCATGGTGGTGGTGGTGCTCTGGGAAGAGGAGTTCCTTCCAGCCTTTGCGGAAGAAGACACCGTCATCTGTCGCACGCAGGTGATGGTGGTGGCCGAGGACGACGAGCTTCTCCACATCGACAGCGCGCAGCTGCTCCAGCGAGCGAACGCCCAGCGCGGACATCATCCTGGACAGGTGCCAGCCGGCAGTATGCACGTCCGGGACATTGTGGTCCACGATCGCGCTCTGCACGATGGCGCGGTGGAACAGAGGGTGCACCTCGTTCTTGGCGGACAGCATATGGCAGAGGATGTCAGCAGCCCCGGTGGACTCGCCGAACAGCGTCACGTTGCTGGGGTCGCCGCCGAACTCGGTGATGTACCGGTGCACCCATTCCATAGCTCTGCGCTGGTCCCTGAGGCCTGTGGAGCGGAGAGATCGGTAAGTCAGGTGCTTCTCAGGCTATGAGAGAAGCGCTCGCGTACCGTAGTTGCCCACTCCCTCGTCACCTGCCTCAAGGTTGTCTTCTTGCAGACTGGACCCGGCGGCAAACCCTAAAATACCTAATCGATAGCTTGAATGAAGAACGTCAGTATGATATCGCTATGAGCGACTGTGGTGCCACGTACTTGAAGGTTACTAGGACCATAGGCTTGCCCATGAGAATGCTTTTGCGGACGAGGGCGCCGCCGTCGTACACCCAGCTTGAGCCGGTGCCGGTATTGCCGCCCCCATGAATCCATATCATTACGGGGTATCGCGAGCTGGAGTCGATGTCGCCTGGACAGGTGATTATCAGGTTGAGACACTCGAACTCGTGCTGCTTGAAGTTTTGTTGAGGAACTTGATCCTCTGTGAGGCCGAACATGTCTGCCTCGGCGCCCTTTACGTGAACCTGAGGGCATATTGGACTACGCGACAGTCAGGCTGAGCGCGAGCCCTACAGAGATGCGCACGTACCCATATTTCGTCGCGTCGACGTGAGTGGGATAGGAGGTGCATAGTCTGGACTGGCGAAAGCGAGCAGGGATGCTGGCATACTTGATGCCGCGAAACTGGGCTACGGGAGCCTCCGGCGTAGACGCCGAGTGCTCGACGCCGGTGAAGGCGGTCTTGAGAGCCTTGTGGTGGACGACCGGGTGAACGACCTTGATAGGCATGGCTGTGGTCGGTGGGTGAATAAGCGAGGTGCGGGGGCGGGGCAGGGGTCAGGGGCAAGCGTATGGGGCGCAGGCTCGAGGACGGCCTGGAGTTTAAGTATGGGATGGCTGCTCGAGCCTCGCCATCCCGCATGGACCCGAAGGCGATCATCGAGCAGGCCTCGTAGCAAAAACTCGAGCAGTCCGCCCAAACAGGCAGCTGCGATAGCGATGTGACCTTCGCTGGCCTGATCAGTCACGTGATGCACCGATCCCAGATTCAATTGAACGGAACTTGCGAGAAACCACGGGGCCCAAATCTCGGCCTTTACTGCAACTTTGCTGCGAATGCGGTGTGTTGCTTGACATCAACATGACGTGACTGGCTAACATGAAATGATTTGCTCACCGCCGCGGGTTTTCTACGAGCCTGCACCAAAGCAGAGTCGTAGCACTTGTCCTATAACAAGCTAGCCGAGATCGTCGCACTGCGCACGCCCAAAGGGAACGACAATACCGATTCTCACCGGTGGGGCTGCATCTATGAGGGCGTTTACGTAGGTGGGTAAAACGAGACGTAGCTTCGAACCTAGAATATATCCACCAGGACGAGCTTGATGGCACGGGCCTGTATTAGTATTACCGCCGGGACACAAGGGAGAAGGCGCCCGAAGGGGAGAGTGCGGGGAATTGGACGGGGAGACGGGGAGCTTGTCTGGAAAGCTGCGGGACCGCAGCTTGCAGCGCAGTTGTCAGGTTGACGCTTGCAGAACACATACATAACTCGGCGCAAGGCTATGTGCCAAGAGAGAACGCATAACTTGACGCGTTAACATTACTACCAGTCATGATACACAGGAGCGACAGGTAGTTTACGCCCGACTCTGCCCATGGTCACAAACCAAGCAGCTCTGCTCCTGACACCAGAAGAACGTAAGATACAACGCGCAGCGACATACATGACATAAAACACTCACCTCGCCTTACGCAAATAACGCGACTGTATATAGCGACGTATCTGCGCGAACGCACAAGAGTGAAAGAACGAGACCAATCACGCTCGTTGCAGCAGTGACCTCAGCGCACTCGTCCGTCTCTCATCTCTGAGCACAAAGTCAATGGCAGCGCTCGCATCAAACTCACTCAGGCGGTCTCATGGACTAACAGACAAGGGAAAACATATATTTCAGAACACTGGATGGCGACGACGGACGACACGGTGAAGGAACGAAAGCAAGGAGCTCATCGATGGCCATCGTGATTTTGCGGCGATAAAGTGCGTGACGCATTCAGTCACGGGGGTTGTCACGTTTGCGCCACAACGCCACAATTCACTTGGAAAGTCCAGCTTATTCGTATTCACTCGATCAGGGGACTAGATTCTATGCTCGCAAGGGATAGGAGGGGGGCTCCTGAGCCCTCAACCTGATCCTGACGAGAACTCGCTGCCTGTCCAGTCAGCTATGGACGAGGTGATTCGGCCGCCGACAGTATTCCATCCAAAGTCTGAATCCATAGTGGCGGGAGATCCTTCACCTCGCCATCTTCCTTGCTAAACCTAAGTAGACTAAAGATTGCATCTAGTTAAGCAGATGCCAAGCCATATTGTTTGAACTGTGGACCAGCACCGCCTACGAGAAGGGGGAGCGCGGAAGCGCGGTCTCAGTTGATGTGGATACAGTGGAATCACCTTCTCCTCAGAATACAGTCTGTTTGGCCTCCTCCTCGTGGTCACGACTCAAGACTGGATGCCCGTGGTCAAGTTCCGAGCTCATGGAGGGAAGCGGGTCACTGTAGGGACTCCAAGTATAACTCACCGTGCTATGTTCAACTCATTCCAGATAGCCACCGCACCTCTAACCACGACAATCAGAAGCCAAGCAGCGATAATACACACATACGACATGCCGCACGGTCCACCGATGTGCGCTACACCGAAAACGGAACCGTGCCTCTTCTAGGACGATCGTCCTCCTGCCGTCCCGGAGCGGTGGGTAAACTTGAACGCTGCACATGACAGCGAGGAAATTCCGAGCGGTAGGACTAGGCGCGGGGGCGGGGCGGTTATCGCCGAGAGCAGGGATTATTAGGGAGGCTCGTGAGTTGTGTGCGCTCCAGTACCGTTATACACTGGGCATGGCATGAGGGATAAAGCGGTGGGTCGATGGACTAGTGGAGATGTTTCGCGCCAGAGACTAATCAAGCCGGCCGTTAGGAGAATCGCTTCACCGTTCAGTAACGAGGACTGCAATGCAAGGCTCTGCCTTTCGAGCGAGGATGATCTTGTACTCGGCGTTCCCGCGCTCGACTTCGGACCCTCGAGTTACCATCATAATGAAGCCTGTTGACCCGCAGCATCAGCATTCGGCCCCTTCCGATACGGGCCACGTCTATCAGGTTTGTTGGGCATATTATTGCTGGAGGCATTGACTATCAGCAAGGGACTCAAATTCTGAGCATCACAGCGAGGTCGATCCGATTGGTAGACTTCCCGGAGAGGTTGGATGCCATGCGCGACAGGACGGGTTGAGATATGTTCGCCCTGTGGTTCCGCAAAAACAGAGCGGGTGGACACTTGATGATTTCTGAGCGTAAGGCCTACCCGCAGTACCTCCATGCGTGATGCAACGTAGGACGGGTTAAGATAACTAAAGCAGCCAAAGAGGGCATAGTCGGCGCTGAATCGGCGGGTTGTAGAGTATGCTAGAGTACTCACAGCTATGCTGAGCCCCCGATCCAGCTGATGACCAGGGCCCGACTTCCGTAGCAAGCCTCGAGGGTTGTGCAGATCAGACGGACGTTCATCTGCTACAGATTATCTGTATAATCGCAACATCCGTGGCGACTTGCAGCATATTAGCTCGCTGACATCCAGCAGGGTCGAGAGGACGTCAAGGAGCAGCGGGACGCAGTCATAATATCGGCCTCGTTGCCATCGACGAGCACTCGACCAATGTGGGAGTCAGCCCGTCGATGTGCTGGGAGGTACCCCTTGCAACATCAAGTTGGTGGGTAATAAAGATCGGAGGCGTTAGCAACATTCAACACCACAGCACCTCAACGGAACGCTGATTTCCGTGGGCATGAGTCAATGCTGCTCGGGAAGGGATAACGGTCTATATCAGCGTCCCCAGACTAATGTCACCATTAGGATGCATCGGAAGCAATGTGCATTTGTGCAGCTACCCGTCAGAACGAATTCAATTCTTCATGCCAGAATCGATGCTATGCGTAGCACGCTAAAGGCTTACCATCCCGGCGATCGTGGTGCAGCCGCCCCAACAGGACATGTATTTGAAGGAGGATGCGCTGCTAGCTTGGTCTCCGTGTCGGAAAATCTGGAAAAGACCGATAAGCCCTGACAGAACCTGACTGCCAAGCAAGCCCGACGCGAGGAACGAGCGGCTCGGGCTTGCGCTAAGCCAAGCTAGGTGTGGCTGAAGAGCCCTCGCGTGCTGAGCACGCGGCGCCACGCGAGCGCCGCCTTCTCCCGTAGCTCTCCCAATGCTCAGCACGCCGCGTCAGTCTTTCGAATTTTCACGCTTTCTCTCTCCCCTCATCCTCGACGCCTGAGTGGAGAGTTCCTTTCGAAGTTCTTTTCGACTTGACTATATACTTCGAGCACTACCAGAATTTCCTGCTGTATATCTCGTCTCACTAGCTTCCCGCTTTGCCGTTATCTTATCAGCTCGGTACCGCCTCGCTTATCTATCGAACCCAACATGGCCAATATCTCTCAGGAGCTGGGTGGCGACGCGCCTCCTCCGGCGAGAAAGCACAAGACCCATTCCTCGGCGGAACGCCGTGCTGAATTGAAATCACTTCCCCTTGTCGAGAGGCTGTCTCTGAATACGGCGATATGCGCACGGAACAAGGCCCGGGAGACCACACATCGGACAACTCAATATATGATGCTGACCTGAACCCGGTCGTGAATGTCAAACCGTAAGAAGTAATATACAGCCAAAGCAATATGTAATACTCATTTTGAGATTGTTTAGTCCAGCAATAGACAGTAAGGAATATCAAATATGACATTAGCTGCCGTTAAGGGGAATATATCTGCCCGTAGGCAACCTTTCTCTCCATGTTATATGTGATGACATATAACATATATGGGGACGGTTACCACCCGAGAGTTATAACTTAAGTATATAACGAGAGTGTACGCAACACAGTATTCCAAATATGGCTCAGCATATGGGTACTTGTGATATAATTTACCAGATTCACGCATCAGAATCCACTTCAGCCTGTGAACAATATGTCATATATGGCTTTCAATCGATATTGAGTGGGCCGCCGGCGGCAACAGGCGGCGCCACTCAGCGGCAACAGGCGGCGCCACTCAGCGGCAACAGGCGGCGCCCCTTTGCCGCTCCTACCTTGCATGCCGCTCACACTGATGAAATATAACTGAGCGGACACATCAAGTAAAACCAGGCGAATTATTGCGTGATAAAATACAGAGAGTATGCACGAAAGTTATCACAACTGATTGTGAATCTACATGGCCGGTGAAGC